ATATTACATAACCATTAAAGTACACATAATCAATGATGTTTCAACTGAGGCATAATTCACAGCTTTGGCTTGTTCTTCCCATTGTAAAAAGTACAAAAATTTTATCCAAATGGAAATTTAATATCTACCACATAAAAAATTTCTTTAATTAAAAGCACCTTTTAATCTACCACTAAAAGAGTACATAATTCATGGCCCCTAAACATTTTGGGCAAACGAGGCTTATCTTTGGAGTATTTACCTGGGCTTTTATTTTCCTGAAGAAATAACATCCTGCAAATAGATATAGGAGGTGGAGGCAAGATAAACACTCCTGTGCTGCTCTAAGATTAGCAACCTCAAAGATTTAGACATGGTTCCAAATTCCTGAATAATAAATCAGTGGAGATGCATACAGGTCTTGAACATGAAGAGTCTACTTAACTGTGGTCACAAGCATTCAGAGACTGTGATAACAGAAATTCAGTCCCACTCCATGCTCCAAACTTTATGACTGTAGTTTTCAGATTAACTGGCAAAGTAGAGTGCCTTTATAGCCGTAACAGCACAAAAGTCCTCCACTCGCTTTCTAGCCACAGCTGTAATGAGACTGTGGATTTGCGTGGGCCTCTGCGGTATACAATTCCTCGTGCTCCACACAGTGCCTGGACCAAACATTTGTTGACTGAATCAACACATGAGCCTTTCCATCTTATTTAATCCTCACAATGGTGTTGTGAAACAGGAAGGGCAGCAGCAGCTATTTCTGTTTCACAGGTGAAGAAGTTCCAGACGTCGCCACTGTTGTTAAGATTTATTAGGCCCAGGCCATGTCCTAAGCACTGCTCTACACACTGTGAATGTATTAACTGGCTTAATTCCCATAATATCTTAATAAGGTAGGAGTGAAGAGCATCCCCAATTTACAGATAAGAAAAGCCAGGCACAGAGAAGTTAAGTAACTAGCATGATAAGTATTATTAATAACTACAACCAGCTATTACTTGGTAACTGGTACCAGGACTAACACCAGACAGTTGGTTCCAGAGTCTGCACTTTTAACCACAATGCATCCTGCTCCGAGGCTGACCTGCCCAATAGTATCCATGTGCTTTGGCCTGGGTGACACAGCAAGGTAATGGCCAAACCGAGGCTACTCCTATGCTCCCTCCAACCCGCCTCCCCTGCCTCCACAGGTTCTGTCGATCATTATCCATCAAAAACAAAGCCACACTGGGCCTCACCACCAGTCTAACCAACTGAACAGAGTGGGGATGTATGCTGATGAACTAATTCTTCATAGAAACCCAGGTCAGGAGGCTGCCTTCAGAAGCAAGACAAGTCAAAGGCCTCAGGGTGGATTTGTCAACCACATGGAAGCCACCGGATACACTTGTATCAAGAACTTACTACTGACAACCCATCTGGCAGGTACGACCAAGCCTAATATGTAACCAAAAGTCCACTTTAAAACTACAGAGTTAATGACTTTTATTGAAGAAGATATTTGCACTTCACTCTCCTTGGGTTTTAATTAATTTTTCATTACCATTTTTGGTAAACCTCATAGAGCACACACAAGAGCTCTGTGGTTTCAGAAATGGATGGGTAATGAAAGAAAGAAACACACAGCCTGCCTCATGTAGAAAGATTCCTTGTAAAAAGGTCCTTTCTAAAGGATGGCTTAGCTTAACAATATGTAATACAGCCCATGTTTAAGCAGCTAGTCAACTACATTTAAACATGTTTGCACTGAACGTAGGGTGTTTCATATGCCACACGAATGGATTCCTAAATCTTTCAGCAACATAAACATTCATTTATTTTTCCACACACACATAAATTGGAATAAAAGCTTATATACCCCCTCTATTCAGATTTTCTCTGGTAGTAGAAAAATGTCGGGGAAGCTTTTTGCAGAAAATAAATCAACATGCATAGTGCTTTTCTTCCAAGCATCACCTCCATTTGCAAATACTGAAATGCAATCAGGCACTAAATGTGTTAATAAGACATATTTACTGAGAAATTTGGTGTCTGACTTACCTATTGGATTTCTATCAAAGAACAATATTGGAGCTTTCAAAATGGATTCAAACATTTTGTTGTGTAAAGTTTGTGAAGAATTAACAAGGACGTAGAATAACAACAAAGATCTTGCTATGGCGAAAATGAAGATAGCTAGAGTTAAACCTGAAATAAAGAAACATCACTCAGAGCACAGGATCTCTGCATTTTCCTCAACAATATTAAAGCATGTCAGTTTATCAAGATATTATGCAGTTTATTCCATAAAGGATCTGGATTCTATTAAGAGTTTAATGCATTCATAAGATAACATTTATAAAGAAGAATATAAAATATTTCTCTCATTAGATAGCAACTACATGCGAAAAAAAAAATCAGGTGTAAACTACAATGTCATTCTAGTCTTTCCTAATTCAATTACAAGTTCTATTTTCCAGTCTCCATATTCCAAACCTTACTACTTACAACATATCTCATGCTCTAAAATCGTGGTATGTTTTGATACCAGCAGGTGACAGTAACAGGAAACAGGAGAAATGATCGACCATTTCCTTGTAAAAAATGTCCTTGCAGCTTTAAAGAATCTGAAAATACCATAATAAGTTGCAAGTAGAAGATCTCTTTTCTACGGCCATGCTACCCTGAACAAGCCCGATCTCATCTGATCTCAGAAGCTAAGTAGGGTCAGGCCTGGTTAGTACTTGGGTGGGAGACCACCTAGGAAGACCAGGTGTTATAGGCGTAAAAAATTAAAAAAATAAGGGATTGTAAACTGACAAGGTTCCTGCAATCTGTGAGATCAACCAAGGGTTGCCTCGTCTAAACAATAAAAAATAATAAAAAAATAAATTAAAAAAAATTTTTAAAAAGAAAATCTCTTAAATAATTGAATTGCAAGAAAATACAAATTAAACTTTAACATGAGATAATTAATCTAAATGAGAAACTAATCTCTCATTAAATGTTTTATATAAACACAAAGCATTTTTAAATGGACATAATGATTTAAATTATTTTATTAATGACATAAATGAATATACACTATGCATATAAAAAATTAAAATATCTCTCCTAACGTCTCTTGAATTCGTAATGCTAAATAGAGTGGGGATAACTTCTGTAATAAATTCTATCAAGTACTTTTTCCCCCTTCAGATGACGCAACACTCTTTTTTAAATTCTGAAAGCTTCTCAAATTCCTAAATTCCATCAACAGGCAGGCACTTTCTTTAGCCTACATGACTATATAACAGAACCATTTTTCTTCTTCCTTTATGTCTCTCATAGTCTACCAATTTGGCAAGTAAACAGCTAATGGATTTAGATTTCTTAGCAAGTGATCAACGAAATGAATACCAAATTTCAGTGAGCGGGTTCTTAAAAAGATAATTCGCTCTATCTTCAAGGAAAGCTTGTATGAGCATTTCCTGTGGGAATATTTAAAATTTTAGATGAGGATTTCCTTTAAAAGTATGTAATGCTACATATATTCTAAGCACTCTTGTGAAAACAGAGCACTGTGTTAATATTAGTCTGGCAAGCCAAATGTTAAATTACTCACACAGTTGGGAAGGCGATAACATTGTGATCTCAAGGTAAGAAAGAGAGAAGGAAGCCTAATTCCCAGACACTGAATTTTTTCCTGCTTAGCTTCCCTCTTAAGTAATTAGTGAAGCCCAAGAGATGAGCAGTATGGTGAAGGGAGCTTTGCATACCTGCAAGGGAATAATGCTTTTATTTGGGGGGCCTTGCTGCCAGAGGATTTCATCCAAGTTCAACAAAAGCCAAGGTTTATTCAAACAGAATTGGAACAATCCAAACCAGAGGGTGGGGATCCGTTTCTAATCCCCTTGCCCATCCATATAATAATATAAGATTTAGCAAAAGCTACCTATTAGAATAGACAATAGCCACATATTTCCAGTGGCTGATTTTCTGAATGCTCAATCCCGATTTAACTTCCAAAATCTAGTACAGAGCAAAGTAAGATTCTTCGCTGAACCTCTTTCTTCTAGTAGATTTTAAAAATAATTATTCTAATTAATTCACAGAGTAAATGCGACTCAGACTCTTAATCTGTTAAGACATTATTGAATCACTCCTGGAAGCCTAGTTACTCACACAGGCTCATTGTAAGCATCTCAGACTGTCATATAATAGACCTAATGATCACACTTTACCTGAATAAATTCCTAAGTACCAGTTAAGATCGAGCTTTTCGGTTACATTTCCTTTTCCATTTACAGTGATGTTCAGGGCGCTCTGTTCATTTGCCCTATGGAATAGGGAAGAAAAAATATTAATCTACAGATGGAATTTAGACAAAGACAAAAAAAAACAAAAAACAAAAAAACAACCTTAACCTCCACTGAACCTCCACTGGAAGATGACTCCCAGCTTACAGGGTCCCATGTATGTCTACCTTATAAAAATCCAATTTGAATCATGACTTTGAGTTCTCAAAAACTGTCTGTGAAGACGCTGCTAAGGATCAGACATGGGTAGAGACCATGGGAGGGTCACACTCCACCAGCAAGACCTTTAATTTTTCTTCAGGGAAACTAAGTGAGGATTAGAAGAGGAGACTGCACAAACCCCAGCTCTCCCTGCCTCTGTGAAAAAGGGAGGCTTCATGTTGTTTTCACAGCACTTTGCAGTCAGTTTAGAAATAACTCACCAGTATGAAAGCCACCAATCTTGAACAATGTAGGCGACCTAGAGTAGGAAAACAAACACATACAAAAATCAAACTCTAACATCGCTTACCAACTCAAAACTCTCATTCACTAAAATGGATAACTGAAAGGCTCCAGAAAACAGATGGTCCTTCCAGCTCAGACCAAGTTCGTGCTAAGCACAACATCCCAGACAACAATAGGGTAAGTGTATATTACATTTTTAAAACTTTAAAAGACATCCTTTTTTTTCCCCTAGAAGCTCTTTGTAATGTACACACAACACCAGTAAGCATCACTTATTTTGTTCCCCACAGATACCCCATTTCAACACAAATCCAAGTGGACTGCAAAATACAATAATACGGTATAAATAAATATAGTACAAATATAAATATTACTGTAAATATTGAGTTAAAGGCACAAGTGTCCTTATTCACCTGAGCTAGGACGGTTATTAGAAGAAGGAAAATGAGGATAAACCAGTGGGCACCGGCTGTGAAGTAACTCTTATAGGCCTTCATCCCAACTTTTCCTTCAGAACGGCTCTCCTCGGTTAGTGTAACCTGCATATTCTTGATCCGGGAAGGAAAAAAGGTAGTGAGAGATAATATTTTAAATAATCAGCTCTCAAATGTCAAAAGTTCAACAGCATACTCTGTTGGCAAAGCCATGGGAAAACACGCACATCTCATACACCGGAAGGAGTACAAAATGGTACAGCTCCTATGTGGGAGGGTATGGAGATGTCTGGCCATACCCTACATGCATTTGCCCTTGCACCCAGCCATCTCACTTCTAGGAATCTTTAGAAATAAGAAAATATCATTTGCACAAGGTTATCAGTGTTCAAAGTAGAACATCATGATTTCTAGCATATGAACAACACACCCGAGTCAAGTATAAACGCAGAGGCGTGTTTGAAAATAATATGTGAAATAAATGATATGGAGCTAATGTATCACTCTTGATTATTCGTGTCACTCAACAATGGAAACATAAAACAAAGTAGGGGCTCAAAATATTAGCCAAATACAGAAAACTGAGGTCAAGCTGCAAGATGGAGTATGAGAGTTTGGATAGCAAAAGAGAGCATATGTTCTGAATCAAATTGGTTCCTGAATTTTAGGGAGTGATTCCTGAGTTTGAAATGTGAGAAAAAGAATCATCCAGACTCCTAGATTTGGATAGTGGATATCAAGGAAAACCTGTGTATATTTTTAAGGGTGATCTAGTGCATTTCTGCACTTCTGTGTGGAAGACTTGGAATGCATTATCGATTCACATGAGCCAAGGATGTCCTTGGCTCTATACCTGGCTCTATGCTGGCCGCTGGGAATTCAAAGATGGATAAGATGTGGTTCTTGGTCTTAAAGAGTAAGAAAGAAGACAGGAATTAACTCTAAAGTGTCTACCGTGTTCTAAGTCTTTTGCACATGCTATTTCTGGCCTATCACAAACCATCTGACCATAGGGACAAAATAATACCATCAGTCATCTGCAGAGCCAGAACATTCCAACATAGAGGAAATGTAGCTGATTTAATGTGGGCTACAGCAGAATGCAGTCTGAGCGGGTCTTCAAATTAAGCCTTTGGGTGCAAAAGGAAAGCCTGGGGCCACCAAGAGCAAGTAGGATTTACCTATGGTAAATTCAAGAGTTCTAATATCAGTGCGAGCCCCATATACCTTGGGGCTTATAGCAGTAAGCTCACTATTGATCTCAGTGAGATTTTCCATCTTATACCCAGAGGAGAACCTCAATCAGTCCTGCCCCCTTGGTTCTATTTTAATTCTACAAATTCCATGGAATAAGGCCTTGGAAACTTAGGATCTGTTTGGGGACAAATGTAGATGTTATGAACAGAGCAGACTGAGGATCCATGAGGCCACTAAGTGCAGACAAAACCAGGGCAAGTTGCAAGATGAGAAACTCACAGCTTCGCTCTCTAGAGCACCGTCTTTCAACGAGGGTCTAGAAGACTGTTGAGACCAAACTGAAGACTCCGAGAAGGTCCGACTCCTCAGTGTGGGACTTCCTGGAATGGAAGATTGTTCAGCCTCCTCATTTTCCTTCTTCAAAAGGGACCCAAAATCTATCCCGGATTTCAGAAACTCAGTGTAAGTTCCCTTTTGTACCATTTTACCCTAAAATAAAAATAAAGAATTTGAGAGAAATACATTTGCATTTGATAATACCAATCTAATCTAATACTAATCAAAAAAAGTTAACTGGTTTTAAATTATGATTTTCATAAGAATATTATTTTTAAGTGTGGAATTCTAGTTGACAAAATCTAATGCAATTCACCTCAACACAGAACTGAGCATTCTGTTCTCTGCCAAAGCCTGTGTTGGGTGCTGGGGGATATAAAAGAAATGTGTAATCATGTGTTAAAAATAGAGATGAATGACATAAGTACCGCGGTCATTTAAGGAAACAAAAAGTATAGATGTTAGTGGGAGTATCAGTACAGTCTTCTTAGACAGCATGAAAATCAAGATGTCTGCTTGTTCAAAACAAGCAGAATTTGAAAGAACAGAGTCAATTGGGGTGGTTATTCCAGGGAGAAAAAAACAAGATTGACAGAGAAGTGGGCACAAATCCTTCTGCATAGGTAAGAGTCATTCGTCAAATCTTTCCTGACCACTATCAGAGTATTATGTGCACCACTGGGACAAGATGTGTGGGAACCAGCCTTGGACATGGAACTCATAAGCTGCATCTTCATGCCCTTTACTCTGAAACTGCTCCCAGTACTCAGGAAGTGCCTGACTATAAGTTCAAAATTCCATCTGTTAAACAAGGAGGGGTGGCCCTAATACCTTGGTGGCCATCCCTCCTTGTTTAACTGAAACTGAAACTTAAGCCAGAGCCAATGAACTCAAATCCAAGAAAATGAAACTGAGAACAACCACAAGCAGCCAACTAGGCTTTCCCAAATCATGCAACTGCTTAAGTTATAGCCAATCGGATAATTTTTAAAAATATATGCGATACTTCATTACATAGGTTCCTCTCCTTACAAAGTTATATAAAATAATGTGCAGATGTTTTCACTATTTTCTCCCCCTGTGAAACAAGACTCAGCTGACTTACTCGGTAGTAAACAAAATATTAGACAAAAGCCCAGGACGCAAAACAAATCAAAGGGCAGCCCTGGGTAAGGCAGGTCAGGAGGAAGGCAGCCCAGCCCGCCCAGTATCCTTCTCACCCCATCCCCCAGGGGGTCCACTGAGAAAAATCTAATAAAGCTTTTGGGAACTATTGGAAGCTGCAGAATTGGAAAATCATTCATGATACATAGTGTCTTGTTCCACTTGGGAGGCAAAATTCATACACCTTATTTAATGAAATTACCAGTTTCCACTTAGTATCTGTAAGATGCATAGGAACATGACTATGGTATAGAGAGAGCAGTTTTACTCAGCAGCCAAATGCTGACAATTCTAAGAGGGGACAAGGGGGCAGCCAATACCTTTCTGCTATTAGAGAGGGACCAAACAGTCATAATGGACCCCAACTAATCCAGGGGTGCTCACAGGTGGACAAATGGTTGTTTTGATCATACTAAAACTGGGGGTAATAATCTCAAAAAAGCAATAAGGGGACCCCCAGATCATCTAGGGACCAGCTCAATAGGCTCTAGTCCTGCCCACCAATTCTGTGCTCATCATACTGCCAACACGGAGGTTAGTCCCACTCTTTTGCACGTGAATTTAGTTGTTCTCAAGCCTGAGAACTCTGAGCTCCCCACCACTGGAGGAGTGGGGAAGAGTCAACACATGAAACTGCTTCTGAAGGCTAGCAATTCTACATGTTAATAATCTTTCTTAGGGCAGAAATTTATTTAATGAAGTGAGGCATTTGACCAAAAGCCTCTTGGAACAGACAAGGGTTAATGATGGAGGTGCTAAAGCACAGAGGCAAGCAAGCTTAAGAGTGATGAATCAAACAAACACTAAGCCTTAAAAATTCTCACTAACCTCCATCCCTACCCCCAACCACACTAGCCGTTGTGGGTTAAATCGTGGCCCCGCAAAAGATATGTTCAAATCTCAAACATGATACCCATGACGGTGGCCTTATTTAGAAATAGTGTTTTTGCAGATGTGATCGATCAAGTTAAGACGAGGTCATACCAGAGTATGGTGGGCCCTAAATCCGATATGCCTGGTGTCCTTACAAAGAGAAGAGACTGATACAGACTCAGGGACAATGACCTGTGACAATGGAGGCAGAGACCGAAGTGCTGCAGCTGCCAGCCAAGGACACCAAGGATTGCCAGTGAACATTGGCAGCTGGAAGAGGCGAGGAAGGAGCCTTCCCCAGAGCCTTCAGCGACAGCATGGCCTTGCCAGCATTTTGATTTTGAATGTGTAGCCTCCAGAATAGCAAGAATGAATTTCTGTTGTTTTAAACCACCCCGTTTGAGGTACTTTGTTACAGCAACTCTAGAAAATGACACAAAACTAGCCTAAGCCCATACTTGTATATTCTGAATTTCACTAAGACTTATAACTGTTTCTGCTAGTGCCCCTCCAATGACCATCAAGAGGGATCTTTTTAAAAATCACACATCAGACTACATCACTTCTAGGCCTGCCGCCCATCGCTCTCGCCCATCTCCTTCCATGCTCCCCCTGCTCGCTCTGCCTCAGCCACACTGGCCTTCCTATTTCTTCAGCATGCCAAGTCAGTTCCTGCCTCATGGCCCTGCCACTGGACCCTCTGCCTCAGATGCCCCTGCCCCAGGTTACTGAGTGGCCAGCATCTTCATGTCACTCAGGTCATGAGAGGTACTGCCTGCTCAGGGAAAGTCAGGATATCAACCTCCACACCTCTATCCCTTTTGTCACACATATTCTCATAAGGATGGTAGCTCCATGATGCGAGGAACTTGTCTCACAGCTACACAGGCTCCCACATATACTGGGCACACATAAAGTCCTGTGCAGTGAGACTTACAACTGACTACACCAGGAGAGCGGGTGTCTCTGACCAGGGGATGCTCAGCTATCCAACACTTCTGGTATTAATGGAAAACACTCTTTAGGGAAACCACATATGATAATCAAATGGACGCGAGCATGTCTTCGTATCTCTAATTTCTAAATAACACTTTCACTTAAGTCATGGAAGAAGAAAACAAAAAGTTCTAAGTAAAACAGCATCACCATCCTTAACAATTTCACCAGAACAGTTATAATTTAGTAACTCTGAGTCCTTAGGAAGTTTATGTAGTTTAGGGTATCTGGCTTAAGATGTGATAGTGACATTTCTACACGTCCTTGGATTCATCCTCCGTGGGTAGATAGCAGCTCTGAGTAGAAAGGGATGGACAACTGAGGAGGAAGAGGGAGTTTACCATGAATGCAAGGAGCGTGACCTGCTGAGAGGCCTTGCCTTCAACACGCCTGAGAGACAGCAAGCTCCAAAGACTTCTAGAAGTTACTTACATCTTTCAATATCAGAATCTGACTTGCAGCTTTTAGGTACTGCAACTGATGAGTCACTAAGATTGTGATCTTCTCATGCAAGGTTTGACAAATACACCTATAAATGTAAGAGGTACAGTATGTAAAGATACATCAATGGGGGTGCTCCGAATTGAAAAATGTACATCTTGAAAACATAAGGAGGCAAAGATAACATAGTAGTCAAAGACCTGTAATTTAAATACCAGTATAAATACAAATTAAATACAAATATAAATCAATGCAGCCAATGAGGTCCTCAAATTCACCAGTAGCCAACTTGAGTCCAGCTTCACTACGAAATTCTAAAAAGCAGTCCAATGCAGGAGGTAGCAACTGCTAAGTTTTTTTTTTTTTTCCCCTAAAACTCGGCTAAACAATTCCTTATATATTTCATGTTGAAAAAGAATTGAGCAATAGTGAGATTCCAAAACCTGACTGAACTGAAATACTAATTATTTTATCAGTGTAGGAATGGAGGGTGGGACCTATGTCCTATAAAAATGCGTACATTTTTCTTAGACAGTTTCCTAGGTGATTATTTATGATTTATGGTGTATATATTAAGCAAAAGAAAAAAAAAATCTTAAGTTCTCAGTAACCTTCGCATTTTTTAGACACTTCTTCCTAAATGATTTTAGAAAATAAATGCTAGTACAGCCTTGATTAGTCCCCACAATACTCCCAGTCCCCTCCAGGAAGCACATCTTCTTTTGCTAGGACTGAAAACCTATCGAATATGAAAATGAAAGAACAGAACCTGAATGGCCTAAATCGTTGTAGAAATGACCCAGTGGCTCCAAGGACATACTAATTCTCTCGGTGAAGACCCACCTTAGTATTCGACCTTTGAGACTTTTTTTTTAAATAGTAACCCCTTAAAGTGCTCCTACATTTTGAATACAGACCCCTAGGAACTAAGCCTCAGCTGCACCCACAATGGTCCGTGACCCCTCCAAGTTAGCGAGTAGTTGGTACCAGGCCCCAGTGACCACAGGCAGGGCTCCGGGCACACACTCTGGTGTCCCGAGTCCCACACTGAACAAATCTCAGGACCATGACCACAACTCAACCTGCTGAGGAGGATCCGATCAAGAGTTCTGGAGGAACTCAGACTGGAGTTCATATCCTTGCCTTGCTCTACCTCCTACTAGACCGACAATGTCAGCTGAGCTACTAAACCTCGCTGAAGCTCAGTATCTTCATCTCAGAATAACAAATGTCAACTCATAGGCATAGAAATAAATCCACTTAGTAAATGTTAGCGCCATTCTCCACTCTTCCCGTTACTCATAAGAGGCCATCTGCTTTGGAGCTGGGACAGAAAAGTCCTAAGAGGACACTTTTGAGACTGGGCCTATGACCAAAAGCGAGACCCCAGGGTGTAGATGCACATACTATCATTTCATTCTTTAAGTCCAAAAGGATTGCTTTTTCTATTTTGACATGTCTTCATTTGGCTTTCATACCAAAGTTTCTTAACCAAGTCAACCCCTCATCGGGCTTAGTAGGAAAGCTTTCAATGGAATTATTTCTCCTTAATTCAAAATTACCTGCCATTAATCCCTAAAGGCAGATGTTAATCAAATCTGATGGGTTACTGCATCCGAGATGGACCAACTGAACAGCTTTAAATTGTTTTCTTCCTAACATTCCATCACAGATGAGGTAATGTAATTACAATGATATTGTTAGTTGATGAGCTGAAATTTTTTCTAAGTTATGATTTTCATCAAAATTTCCAGGAAAATAACTCTATTTTCCAAATTTTTAAGAGTAAAAATTTCCAAGTCAGGCCGTAAGTAAAAGATTGATTCCACAATGAGTTGTTTAACTCTCATTTTGTATAAGGGCTGTGTTAAGAGGTATCACATAGTGGAGAAAGGGACAGAAAGAAACTGTCGCAACCTTCATTCACTCAATCAACAAACACTGGTTGAGGTCCCAGGCACTAAGTGCTGAGGATACATCCACCAGTAGAGAATACAGGATATACTCTGCATCATGTGAAGGGAGACACACTAAGTGAACGTGGAAAATGCACTACGTGATATGTGCTATGAAGGAAAAGCAAGGTGATGGTTGCACTTAGATGGAGGTGACACGTGAGCCAAGAGAACATCTGGGGAAACATCCCTGGAAGAACAAATAGCAGGAGCAGTGGTTCTGGGACAGAAACATACTGTGCAACGGCGCCTTCATGCATTCACAGTTTAGTGGGGGATGGGGGGCGTGTAACGATCAAGTACATCCTGTTGTGGGCTGTGGGAAGACAGGAAGCTCGCAGTTCCCCTGGAGGGACAGGAGGGGAAGGCGGAAAGGTGGGGAGGCAGTAGTGGTGTCCTTCATCTTTTTTCTTTGCCCTGGCACACTGTCCCCTGGCTCTTGGACAGAAGGAACAATATCTGTACAGACAGACAGGTATGAGAAGGGGCTCACCTCATCCAGAGCACTCCACAGAAGCCGGTGTGGCTGGAATGTATATTGAGGCTGTGCAAGGAAATGCTGGAAAGGTGAATGGGGCTAGAATGCATAGAACCTTGCTTGCCCTTTCAGGACTTTGAGCTGCATCCTGAACAGGAAGGGAATCTGAAGGTCTGAGGCAGGAAGGGTGAACTGAGAAGGCAGCAGTGTGGGAGATCTGATTAGGACAGACCCAAAGAACTAATTATGCAGGAGCTGACACGCGGCTTTCTAAAATACAACACGGGTCTGTAGCCTGGGACAGATTTGACTGACATCAATTAATCTAAGTGCTCCTAACCTTCCGTACGTGATAGAACCCACTTAATGTTGACAGTATATGGTTGTAAAATCCACAGACATTAATAAAATAACCTTGGATATATATTCATGACTTATGTAAACTGTTAATGGTGGTAAAAGTGTAATTCATTCACTTTTAATACAAAACACTTCATATTACTAAGCTTCAACACAACCGCCATCTTTCATAGTATATTGTTCAATCCAATTTTCTAACTCGTTGAGAACATTCTCCAGTTGCTGCTGAGTGATTTCCTAAATTGCATTCGTGCTCCCTGCCCTGTTTCCCTAAAGAACGTGGTTCTGATTAGCAAACAACAATTTTAACAAGCTTGCTTCTATCAAGTGTATATCCAAAGTCATTAAACCCGAAAGGTGCGAGAGGACTTTATAAACACCTGTGTTCGAGGAAGAACTTGGGAGAGCTTGTGTGATAAGCATACTGATACTTAGCAATTAAAACCCCTCCTCTTTCCTCCTCGTGATGTGATTGCAATGGCTAGCGGAAACTGTTCTTGGAGTGATGGAGAACTTGTGCAGACTCACATCAGACAGGGTGACGGACCCGTGGGGGTGCAAGGTAGAGCGCAGGGAACGGGAAGGCTGAGCTACTCACGATGCCACTGAGGATGGGGGAGTGGGAAATCTCTCCGTCAGTGCTAGTCTCCTGTCACTGAACTCAGTACAGCCCGCAAGGCACTTCTCTGCCTCAGAAAAAATTCATCGAGTCACATTCAAGATGGGTGGAAAAGAGAGGTCAGATCATACAGCTGGAGGTCATGCCAAGTGTCAGCTGGCCCTACTCTCTGCATTCTGAAAAATTCGATGTACTATGTGCTATTTTTATGGTGATAAAATTTATGTAAAATAAAATTTACCATTTTAACCATCACCACCATCCATCTCTAGAACCTCTCACCACCCCAGTAAATAAGAACACTCTACATATACATTCTGGTGGGAAAATGTTAGGGACCCGCCCAGGGACCCATGCTTAGTGGATGGCCGTGAACTTCAGCTCCTAGTGTCCAGGCTCAGAGCTGCCTCACACTCGCACTCTCACACCGCTGGCTCTGTTTGAATCTCTTCTTTTTTTCAGGATCTGTTGTAAATGAACCGTGCACTCTCCACACTCACATGTTGATGCCTTAACCCCCCTCCCTTAGAATTTAGTGTTAGGGCCTTTAAAGAAATAATTAAGTTAAAATGAGGACGTTAGGGTGGGCCCTAATCCAATCTGACTGGTTTCCACAGAAGAATAGATTAGGACATAAGAGAAACACCATGGACACAGGTGAACAGAAAGGCCATATGAGGACAGAGCAGGAAGATGGCCATCTACAAGCTGAGGAGAGAGGCCTTAGGAGAAACTGAACCTCTGGACACCTCGGTCTTGGACTTCCAGCCTCCAGAACTGTGAGAAAATAAGTCTGTTGTTTAAGCTGCCCAATCTGTGGTACCTTGTCATGGCAGCCTGCTATAGACAAAATGTTTATGCCTTCCCAAAATTGACACATTGAACTGTAATTCCCAATGTGACTGCATTTGGAGTTAGGGGCTTAGGGAGGTGATTAGGTCATGAGGGCTGAACCCTCGTGAATGGGATTGTGCCCTAGTAAAGGAGACCTCAGAGAACTGCCCCCACCCCTTCCTCCATGTGAGGACACAGAGAGAAGATGAACCAAGAAGCAAGCTGTCACCAGATACTCAATCTGCCTTGTTCTCAGACTTCCCAGCCTCTAGAACTCAGAAAACAAATTTGTTATTTATAAGCCACCTAGTCTATGGTATTCTGTTATAGCAGCCTGAACAGACACAGCCCTAGCAAACTAATACAGGACCTCACAGCAAGTACTTCCGAGCAACTTCCCTCTGCTACAGAACCCACATCTTGCTGTACAACCTGTACTTCCTGCAGCAGGACGTGCCTGCTGTTCTTTTCACATGTCTTGCTTCTTTTTATGTCTACAGCTTTGCTTCCGCTACTCCCTTTAGCAAAAGGAAATGAATCCTATAGCTTCCACACACCCTGCCCAGCCTGCAGGCCCACAGCACCTGTCCTACCAAGCCCAGTCCAAGGTGAGTTTTACAAGCTGGGCTGAATGCCTAGAGCTGCCCACTTCTACTTCCATTTAGCATTTATTATCTTTACAGGGTGAACTCTTCCCATCCATGTGTCTTGACAAACTCCACAAATTCCTTAGGGGCCAAAACAGATCTAAACTTCTTGATCTCCCTTTCTCTGCCCAGTATGCACCCTTACCCTCTCTGGCTTACTGTCCTCCTTTGTAAACCTAGGTGCTTTGTGCAGTAACATTTGTAAGAGCATCTATCTCAGTGCACACAGTAGTGCCTAAGTGCAACCGAAAGGGTTCATTGGCTTGAACAAGGTAAACAACAGCAAGATAACTGTGGGATAGATATGGATGCTGTTTTAGCAAAAGCAAGTTCATGACGCTTTTGAAAAGGCTAGGTTAGACTTCATAGGAAGCATCCGTCAGCGCACGTTAGGTTACGGTACACACAAAAAAGAGATTCGGATTGTAGCTCAGTGGCTCGGTGGCTCAGCAAAAGCCAAAGAAAACAAATTCCAGAAACACAAAGTGAGAGGCTGGAGTTAATCCAGATTCTAGATACCTAGTTTTAAATTCAAGTTAACCCTATATTTGTGGGTCTTATTAGTTCGAACGAAGCAATATTAAATGATTGAAGCCATACTCTGCTGTGGAACAAATCATTAAATTCTAGACTTTACTAAGTATTTTCAACCTACAGAATAATAAATGTAAACCAACAAGGCCTTTCCATGGAAGATCTATGTTGGTACTGAAAACTTCGCTTCTAACATGCCACAAATGATAGAGGAAAAGAACTGGTAACCAAGTACCAGGTTACTACCCACCGGTAAGTTACTGTTCCACCTGTGGATTTAAAAACCGTACATCATCTTTACTCCTGAGGTCTGGATCCATCAACAGTGTCTTGGTTATCAAGTGTGAGTGGGTGGGAGGACTTGCACAATTTGCCATTTATTTCTTAACTCCCTAAAGCATATACTCGCCACACACCTGCACACAGTTAGTACCTTCTGTATTTTCCCATCTTGACCTCATATCTGCAAAATTTCTCTAAACTGGATCTTCTGTAGAGGGAAGGGAGGGAACATCAAAGCTGAACAAGCTCGATCTTCTGAGGCACAAAGACGGTCCTGAGCCCTCTCCACAGGATTCTTAGAAAGCAGAAATCACACAAAAAATGAGCAAACTCACAGTTGGAACAGGTGCTTTCCGACTTCTGCATCCACTGCACTGAGAGGATCGTCTAGAAGGTAGATGTCTGCATCCTGATATACTGCTCTAAAAACATAAAGAGATATCAGACTGACAAACAGTTCACGCCCCCTGGATCTCATCTCCGAATTCGATAGCTCAGATGATACTCATTCCAAGACCCAACGAAATAATCTAAGACTAGTGTTTCACACAGTACCCACACACGGTAAGCAAGGACTGCGTGTTAACCCTCCTAGAAATAGCACAAGAGGCACATGTAGAACAGCAGCTAAAACGCGATTTACCTTGCGAGGTTGACCCGGGCTTTCTGCCCTCCACTCAGCGTGGTTCCCCGATCTCCTATCATAGTTAGATCTCCATTCTCCAAAAGCTCCAAATCCTATATGGAGATAGAAAAAAAAAAAAAAAAAAACTTAAAATGCATTCTACTGTCATCTTAAACTTTTAGCATTAGTTCTTCATACATGTATTTGATCGATAGCAATGGATACATTTCATAGTGACTAAACTATAACTTTGAACCTTTAAAAAAACTCACAGGGTTTTTGTCTTCATCCTGTAGTTTTTAACAGCATTTATGCCTTTAATTATTTTAACAGATATTTATTGAACATCAACTATATGTCAGGCATTGTTCTGGGCACAGTGAATTGAATGGAAAATAGTCCCCAGAGTTTCCATGTTGGGAGACTGGCAATACGAAAAACTAACATGAGTACAAGCACTAAGTACTATGAAGGAAAAGGAAGTCAGCTAAGGGGGATAGCGAGTGAAGGAGGGAAAGTTTACTTTATATAGGGGTGGGGAAGGGCTCTGATCAGAGGAGGGTTTCAGCCAATAGAGACTCATTGGAGGCGGAAGCCAGCCTGCAGAGATCTGGAGAAAAAGTGTTCCATGTGGAAGAATGAGCAAGTGCATGGGGCAGATACACCCCCAAGGTGCTTGAAGACTAGCACGGAGGCCAGTAGAGCTGGAGCAGAGTGAGTAAAGAATACAGGGGATGGGCGAGGCCCAGCAGGTGGGGCTGTGGTTTCGCTCCGAGTGAAACGGGAAGGGGCACGGGGGAGAACTGACATGATCCGGCTTGGGCTTTTAAGGAATCACTCCTGCCTCTTTGTAGAAAACAGATGGTAAAGGGGCAGGAAAAGGCAGGGTACAAGTTAGGCTACGGCAATAATCTCGTTGAAAGATGACGGTGGCAGGGATCAAAGCAGAAGCAATGAAAATGGAGGGAAGTGGTCACATTCTGGACAAATTTCAAAATTAAATCCTGTAAGAGCTGCTGATGGGATGAGAGTGGGTTGCAAGAAAAGAGGAAGACTGCATTGTTTTTGGCATGAAAGGGGCAAAGAACAGGGTCACCAGTTACTGAGTTTAAGAGGATGATGGATGCAGGTTTAGGAGATAAAATACAGATTTTGGTTATGGGCAAGCTGAGATACCTATGGGTGATGTCAAGCTGCTGCTGAAGGTCTGTGTTAGAGGTACAAATGTGAAAGCTGGCGGCACATACATAGCTTGTAAAGGCACAGGACTTATTTTATCAAGGAGTGTGTTTTAACTAGCCATTTTGCTGATCTCAGTCTCAGCTTCCCGCTTTCAGAGAAGGGATGACACCTGACCCATGTCTTCACAGTGTTGTTTAAGACAGACACAGTGATAGAGTGACAGACAAGATCTATACAAGAAATAAGCGCAGAAAGAGCAGTCTGGGCAGGAGAAACCAAAGAAAAACCAAAATGTTCGAGGGACATTGAGCAGACCAATTGGACTAAATAGAGGCTTGTTCCATGCAATCCAGGAAAAACTCAAAGCTGAGAAGGATAAGAAGTTTTGATTTAAAGATCTGGGAATCTATCGGAAGTTATATTTAACTCTTAATTAAGTAATAAATAGACAAATCACGATACCTAGATAAAAAGATGACAACGACATCCCCAAAATGGCAGTATAATGATCAGGTTTAAGTTACACATTTAATGTTAGAAATCTTTACTTAGATTGCCTATCATCATTATTAGACAGATCCTGACGTAGACAAGCAGAGTTTAGGGGCAGTTTGTTGGTTCTCTACTCTCAAAGGTCAACCTAGGATACATGGCAATACCTTTCTGCAAATGAAGCCCTCATTTTTCCGTCTCCACTTTGGCAAACATGGAGGAGAGAGCAAGTGACACATGGGGATCTCCAGGATAAACAAGTCCTTTGATCTCCCTAAGACTCGCTTTCCTTTTCTACAAAATGTGCAGGAGAAACAAGAATTACTCAACTCGAGGATGCTGTGAGAACCAAAAGAGTAAGTATAAGAACACCCTCACCAGATGGAAAAAGAACATGAATTAACTTTTGCTATTGTTGACCAATACGTATTTTCTGATCAAACCAACAGTGGGATTGCATTCACATTCTGACACAGTGTGAATCACAATATGCCAAGCACACCAACAAGAGAAAAGAGCAAAGGAGTGTCTCCATCATAACCCATTCCCTGAAGGCCCGCCAAAACACACAGGCGCTCAGAGTTCCCTGCATACTCAAAGCTTAACTGGACTGCATCAAATGAAAGGCAGTGATGGCTCTATCATGAAAATTCACTATTATTTCACATTTTTTCTTTGTTGAGCTCAAAAGTTAGTACCATCTCTTGCTTTTGGTTTTCGCGAAAAAACAATGAGCCATTTTAAGATAGGTTCCCAGACTTCTGGGAGCGCGCGCACACACGCACACACGCGCACACACACACGCATACACGCACACACACACACACGTTTACTTTGTCTCTCTCTTTCATGGTTGACAGTCCTTGCAAAGTGTCCTGCTTAGATTTTTATGCCTTGATTTTACGTTGTTTTGTTCCTTCTTAAAAATAGCACCACACTGTAGCACAGCAATCTTGGCTATTTTCTAGAAAAGGAACTTAAAACTCACTATTTCATTTAGGACATTTAGGAAATAAGAAATGGGCTCTCTTCAAGTCTGGTAAAAGAAGGACTCTGAGTGTGTTGACTCTGCAAACTATTTATAGACAAGCCGCAGACGAAAAAAACATTTCAAAGGATCTGAAGGAACACCCGAGTCAGACTAATTTCCTAACCACAATTTTCTGATTTGGTTGGAGGAAAAAGCCTGGGTTGAGCATATATGACAATTCCTCCCAATGACAAGAAGGTATTCTTACATTACTCCTAAGTTAAATTTAACTGATTATTTCATCCACAACAGCTTTCACTGAAAAGCAGATACATAAACTAGAGGAAAACCAGGAAATGGCTACACTGGTTTGATGTTGCCAGGCCAAAAACATCAAGTGCCCTTTAGCAATGGTAGAGACTTACAGCAGAAATGTCATTGAGCACACTGCTGCAATAGTTCGTGAGGGCCAGACGCGAGGCCCCAGCAATCAAGGGCTGGATTCCAGGGTCGAACAGCAGGACTCCCATGAGCCTTTGTTCCTAGCTTTTCCTCTATTTGGAATTACCTTTCCTATCACGGCCTGTCAATAGCCTGCCTACCCATCTTTCCAGGCCCAGCTCACTCTCCTCCATGAAACCATCCCTGAGTTTTCCCAGTCAGAAGTCATCTCTCTTTTTGACCGGGTTCCTAAAGTTTTGTTTATATTTCTCCTGAAGAACACATCTAATTCTGCTTCATAATATGTATGCTTGCACATGGCTTCTCTCCCCATTAGTCAGCTCCTGGATGGTAAGACCTATGTGCCAATCACTGTGCTGGATGCCTTATACTGATCATCTCTAATCCTCACAAAAGCTGGACAGTAAGTTCACTCAGACCTCTGCATCCGTGGGTTTCTCATCTGCAGATTCAACCAACCCTGGATGGAAAACAGAATTTTCCAAAAGTGGTTAGGGATCCATGGATACAGAGGGCTGACTGTATGCTTGTTCTACGTCATTTTATGTAAGAGACTTGGGTATCGGAGGGAAGTCCTGGAACCAATCCTCTATAAATAGCAACAGATGACTATACTGAACTCATTTCACAGAAGAGGAAACTGAGACTAAGTGAGATTCTATAACTGGTCTGAGAACTATTAGCTATTAAACGGAATGGCTGAAATCTGAACCAAACTCATCTCAGTTCATAGGCTCTTTCTTCACATTATGCTGTCCCCTGTGGTTACTGAAAAATACATTTGAAATGAATGCAATATTGAAATAATTCAAGACCTTGTAGCCCTTAATATTTAAATATAGAAATATCAATAAATTTGGTCTCCATATCTAGATTAGCCTCATGTATCCCTTTTGTACTCATGACTTCTCGTTTCCTATTACGTCCTAGGCAAGCGATACAGTTATTTCAATTGAGAGATAAAAAAATAAAGATATAACAACAATTATTCTGCTTGTTAAGACAATCTGAAAAAAATGTCCAACTTGGCAGGAATGTGGCAAATATGAGAAGAAATTATAAGCTTATGAACATCCCAAAAGGGTCTGTAAATTCAAGCGATCTATGTGGGAAAATATTAGACTAGAATTTATCAGTGCTATATCTTTGAACATGTACTGCCTAAAAGTTTTTAAAAGTCTTCACAGAGTAAAAGATAATATGCAGAAAAATGTTACATAATATATTGTTTATGGTATGGTAACACATATTTCTTGTTGATTTATGTAATGTACTATGTGTGGAACATCTATGCAAATATCAACTCAGATAATGAATATATACTCAGATACATTCCTTCTAACATGTCATATTTTATAGATGCAATTTTATCCAAAACTGGCTGTTCTTATAATTAAGAGCTAATTTTTGAACATTATTCTAACACTTATAGTGCTTGTTTGTCCCTTGCAATCGGGAGCTTTAAAATCATTACTGCATTTCATCCTCAAAACAATCTTATGAGGTTGATAGTATTATTATCTCTACTTTACAGATAAAGAAACTGAGGCTTTGTAAAGTTCACACAATTAGCCAAAATCACACACGCAATAAGAGAAACTAAGACTCAGCCCTAGAGTTGTCTGACTCCAGGGCCTTCCAGTTTAACTGTGACTCCTACAGGACCTATCGTTATTATGTTGTTTCCTAAATTATGTTCTAGAATTGACTACAGTGTTACTTCGAATATGTCATCAGCCTAAATCGATGTTGCTAGATATGATTACTTCCTATCTCCTTGTTTTATTATAGAAATGTTTTCAGCTCAATGAACTTAAAAGTTTATTTCAAATAGATCCAGTATAATACATCCAGTTGTTATTAATACACGTAATGTAAGAAATGTTCTGTTGTTTCCTCCGGGATTGGGGGTAGGGGATAAGGAGAAATCTTTATTATATTTATATGGATGGATGAATGTATATATTTAGAGAAAAGGCTATAATAGGAACAATAGCTAGCTACCATTTACTAAAAATCTGGAGTGTTTGCATTTTACAGGCTTTATCTGTGGTCTTTACAATAATTCCACACCTCTCCCATTTAATAGGAAAGGAAGTGAGACAAACACCTGGAATAACAGTCCCGAGGACTGTTTCTCTCCAAAGGCCAAAGCTTTGCTACTACGTATGAAGTCTCTATATCTACAGGCCCCAATTATCCGTGGCCATTCATGTCCATCCATTGACACATGAATTCCAAAGGGAGATATGCAAAAGATCTCACAACTCATTAAAAAACCTCTTGGAAACCTTCTGACTCAATGTTCTCATTCTGCAGAATAAATGTCAGAGGCCCAGGCAGGTGACAGGACAGGTCCAAAGTGACAGTGAGCAAGTGACAAAGTGAAGGCCAGGACTCCACTCTTTTCTTCTCCACCCTGGGCCTCTCTTCCAGCCAAGGCCCTAACTTCACGCCCATGTGTCATACAGCAGAACAAGATGACAGTCCATGTTTGCAAGTCAAGTCACATACAGAAGAATCACTGTGCAGCCCAACCCTGCAAGGGCCCACTTCCCGACGGAGCCTGTGTGCCACAGAGATACCCACAGAGTGGACGAAGCCACAGAACACTGCTCCCATTACAGGGCCACGTGGCTGTGGCAAAGGCATCAGTCCCTGGGGAAAATGCTGCCTGGCAGCTACCGTTCCCAACACCTGCTTTTCTCCAGAGATGCTCAAATGTGGGAGAGTAGAAAAGACAGGGCTGAGGTATCACTGGAAAGACAAGGATGTGCGATCAAACACCTAGACACTGGCCTAGGTCTCTGGAGTCTGACCTGGGATCAAGCACTGCACTTGATTCAGGTAAAGAGGAAATGCCTGAGATCTGTTTATTCTACATTTCACATTCCACCTTCATCGATCAGCTAATTTTTGAAATAGTTCTTCCTTATAAACTTTCTCAAGTGAGAAGTAGTGAGGCATCGTGGGAAAGCATGGGGTCTGGG